AGATTACAGCATTCAGTATGGGTTGCACCTCACTGTTGTAAAAAAAAAAAAACAAAAAAATACTCACCACTGGACCAACAAATAACATGATAAATGATTGAAGTTGTCAAAGACTTCCTTTCGCTTGGATTCATTATCAGTACCCATGGAAGCAGCAGTCAAGAAATCAAATGACATATTGCTTCAGGCAAATCTGCACAAGACCTCTTTACAATATTCAGGAGCAAAAATGTCATTTTGAGAACTAAGGTGTATCTGATCCAACCCATAATGCTTTCAGTATCCTCATATGCATGTGAAAGTTGAACAATGAATAAGGAAGACTGTAAAAGAATTGTTGCTTTTGATGTTGGAGAAGAATATTGAAAGTACCACAGAATGCCAGGAATACAAACAAATCGTGTTGGAAGAAGTACAGAAAGATTGTTCCTTATATGTCAAGATGGTGAAACTTCATCTACCGTACTTGGGACTTATCAGGAGGGACCAGTTCATGGAGAAGAACGTAAAGAGGAGGTTCGGTGAAAAAGAAAAATCCCTCCAGCAAGATGAATTGGCACATTGACAGCAGCAATGGGCTCATACATTATAATTGTGAGGATGGCACAGGACAGGGCAATGTACTGTTGTGCATAGGATCTCTCTGAGTTGAATCCAACCTGGTGGCACCTGACAACAACCAGAAAAATGAACAAACTTGTTTTAGAAGAAGTACATCCAAGGTATTCGCTAGAAACAAGGATGATGAAGCTTGTTCTCACTTGCTGTGGACATGTTGTCAAGAGGGACCCGTCCTTGGAAAAGGTCAGAATGATTGGGAAAGTAGAGTTAGCAAAAACCAGGAAGATTCTCAGTGAAGATGAATTGTCATAGAGGCTGAAACAATGGGCAGCAGTGATTGAGGATGGTACAGAACTAGGCACTGTTTCATTTTGTTGTACATAGGTTTTTTATGAGTTGGAACTGAGTAAATGGTACCTAAGAACAATGTAACAGCAGATAAATTGTAAAACGTTTTTAATGTTAGTGCCTGTAATGATGAATTAGCTTTATGAATTCTTTTATAGTCAACAATAGAAAAAAAAAACTTATTGGAAATGGCTAACAATTATTTCCCCCTATATTTATAGATTTGTCTATTTATAGTGTCAGATCTTTAAATTTTACTTTATCTGAAGCTGTGTTAGTGGGTGCATAAGAATTTAGGGTTGTGATTTCTTCCTGGTGATTGTTTTGTTATTATTACTAATTTGTTTGAAATTAGTAAGGATCCTTGGTTAAAGCACTTAGCTGCCAACTGAGAGGTCATCAGTTCAAGCCCGCAAAGTGCTCTGTAGGAGAAAGATGTGACAGTCGACTTATGTAACAATTTACAGTCTTGGAAACTCTATGGCAGAGTTCTACTGTGTCCTGTAGGGTCGCTATGAGTCTGTATTATTCAGTGGCAGTGTGTGAGTGTGTGTGTGAGTGTTTAGAGCTTCACCAGCCTTTTTTTTTTTTAGTGTTTGGCATGGTCTCCCTTTCTCTTAACATTTTATTTTTAACCTTTACCAGTTGTCAAGTTGATTTCAACTCATTGTAACTCCAGGTGTGTCAGTACAGAGCTGTGGCTCCATAGGGTTTTCAGTGATTGATTTTGCAGGAATGGTAAATCTCTAGTCCCTTCTTGTGAAGTACTACTGGGTGACTTTAATTGTCATCCTTGTGGTTGGTAGTCAAGCATGTTTACTTTTTATACTACATAGGGACTTTTTTTTTGAGTCCTGGTGTGGCGCTGCGGGTTAATGCGCCAGACTGCAAAGCTGTTTGAACTGCAAGATTGGCGGTTTAAGCTCACCAGTTACTCCTTGGAAACCCTATTCAGGGTCACTATGGGTCGGAACCGACTCAACGGCACTTGACAACAACAGCAACAGGGACTTTTTAACCATTATGTGACCTTACATCATTTAAGCAGCCTATATATTCTTTTCTAATCTTAGTGTTTTGCTTGGACTATTTAATTCATTTATACTTGAGGTATTTATTAATTATTTTACTGCTTTATAATTTTCTACTTGTCCACATTTTGTATTTCCAATTTGTCCTTTTTCCTACTTTTTTTTCAAGTGAACAAAATAATTTTTATATTTATCTTTTATTCAGTTATGTATACTTTGACTATTCTTTTAGTGGTTACTCTAGAGTAAGGATTGACAGACTATTGTCGGCAGTCCAAATCCAGCTGCTTTCCTGGTTTTTAAGTAAAATTTATTGAAACATAGCCATGCCCATTTCTTTACATATTTTATATCACTGCCTTTATGCTACAGTGACAGAATTAAGGAGCTGCACAGAGATAACAGGTGTGTGACAAAAAGTTTGCCAACCCTGCCCTCGGGCACTAGTTCTTAAGAAAAGGTAACAAATCACCTAGAAGACTTGTTAAAATACAGATTGTGATCAGGCACCATCCCCATAGTTTCTGGTTCAGTAGGTTTTTGTTAGAAGTAGGCGGTAGGAACCACACTTTGAAAACCTCTACCCTAAAGGTTAAGGAGCTCTGGTAGCATAGTGGTTACGAATCAGGCTGCGAACATTACGTTCAGCAGTTTGAAACTACCAGGTGTTCCGCAGGAGAAAGATGAGGCTTTCTGCTCCCGTAAAGATTTACAGCCTTGGAAACCCTGTACAGGGTCCCTATGAGTCGGAACCGACTCGGACCCCACGGCATATCACCACCACCACCCTAGAGGTTATATAGTATGTATCGCTGACTTATTACAAATTAAAATAAATTACTGTTATTACTTTCCCAGTATTGCTATAAACCTTAGAGCCCTTTAACTTCATTTGCTTGCCTCTTAGAAGCACTATTTGCAGTAACCTGAAATTGGAAACAACCCAAATGTTCATCAACAGTAGAATGGACATTAATAAATCGATGTACAGTCATACAGTAGAAAACCAGGAATGAATGGATCTTTCAAACATATTGAGTGAAAAGAAGTTAGAAACCATAGTACATATTTCATGCTTCTGTATATATAAAGTTCAAAGATGGGGAAAACTATGTTTTAAGACTAGTTAGCTTTAGGTAGGAGGTAATAACTGGAGATTCATGAAGGCACTTATACAATGCTGATAATATCCTTTTATTGATCTGGATTCTGGCCACACTAGCAGATTCATTTTGTAAGTTATTTCATTGAACTATGTTAGGATTTGTATTGTTTTCTGGTCCATTTTAATAAAAAGTTAAAATTTCATTTCTAGGGAGTTTTAGAATGTTAAGAGTTAAAAAAATATTTTTAAGGTAGAGAAGTGTTCTCTTTCAGTTCTTAAGTGTTGAAACAGGGGACTGATTTGCAAATGGAATACTGTTTCCATGGGAACTTCTGGCCACTGTTTCAGAGCCTATCTTTCTGTCAGTATGTTTGTCTACTCTGTCTCTCAGCTGTATTTTTATTTTTATTTGTTGATAGCCAAAGCATTTATTTGGGAATTAATTGTATTAGTGTTTCAAACAGAGCAATATATTTAAGGCATATATGTTAAACCCATTATTTTATACAAGCTTGTTGCCTAACAGTCTTATGCCAAAAAGAAAGGCGTGTTTTGTTTATTTTAACTAGGAATTTTTTTTATATCCTTTGAATTGTGTACTTAAGAAAAACAATTGCTGAAATGGAATATGGCTGTATATTTTTCTCCCCCAATGAATAAAAGTGTTAAAACTTGTTTGGTTTCTTTCTTTAGAATATATTTAATAGCTGAATTCAAAGCATCCCTTTGAAGGGATGTGCCATAGGTAATGGGAATAGAAAGAAAAGGAGAGATTCTGGCATATTGATCTGAAGCCTGTAGTAAGACTGCTTCTCTGCCTCTCCCATCTTGTTTGTCATGGTTAATTTGTGCAGGGTCCTGGAGAAAACCATCTTCTCAAAAGAGTAAAATGCATACATCTTGTGAGGTGTGTGAGCTTCATTTTATTTCCAAGAAGATGATAATAGTGTGGTTTCTCATAAATATTGTAAAAGCAGCTTTACTGAACAGTGTAAAATCATTTATGAGAATAAAATTGTTCAATTTCATTTACATGGCTAAATAAATAGCAAATTGTAAGTGCTCTGAGTTCATTATACACAGTAATGAGCACTGTGATGTTCTGTGCTTTACTGATGCAATAATAACCACTCCTGCAGAATATTACATTAAACCTATTTTTCTATCTGCATGAATTTTCACATGGATTAAATAAGAAAAAATATTTTGGTTTACAAACCTTTAGTAGTATTTAATGCCTTTGAAAATTTCATATAGAATAAGAATTGTAGCTGTACGGAGAATTTTTTAGATGCATGGAGAATTTTTACCTTTCATCTGGTTGTAGCTGCCATAAGATGATGTCACCTTGTAGCTGATTGGCTGTTGCAGCACCTAGGGCAGGGAAGAGAAAGAAAAATGCCGGCACAAACCTCAGTGGTGGTTCTGTGGCTGTTTCTGTCTATTTTTTGATAGAACCTTTCATTAGTAATGAATCTACTGTATTTGGCCATGTGAAACATCCTAGGGTGAGGGAAAATAAGAGCTTTCGGAGGAATGAGGCGACTGATTTGCAAACGGATCTGTGATTGTAAGTTGAAAAATCTTGGTGTAAGGAATAAGGCAGGGCGTGCTAGAAGATATACTATGGGAGGAGCTGACAAGAAAATGCTTACATGAGTAGCAAAAAAATGAAAATTGCTTTTTACTGCCCTTATGTTTGGTTTGATGTTGTAAGTTAATATATATATGTTGATAAGAAATTTCATAATACTTTTGATTTTAAGTGATACAGGGTTATTTTATATGCTGCTGGGTAATATATCAATGCTTATTAAAATAAGCTTTATTTTGTATTGTATATCCAAATTAATGATTTTATGTATGTCTGTTTGATATTTGAGTCTTATGAAAAAATGGAGCAAAGCTTAGTTATTTAAATATAATTTTCTAATGCTTTGTGCAGATAAAAGCTTTGATGATGAAGAATCAGTGGATGGAAATAGGCCGTCATCAGCTGCTTCAGCCTTCAAGGTTCCTGCACCTAAAACATCCGGAAATCCTGTCAACAGTGCAAGGAAGCCTGGTTCAGCAGGTGGCCCTAAGGTTGGAGGTAATGTAAATCCATTTCAGATCTCATGTGCATGCCCTATGCCCTTGATATGGCCACACATACTTAGAACTTCAGAGCAATATGTTTATTCATGACTGCAGCAGGATTGCAGAGCTGGAGATTCTGTTGCAACACACAGAAGAACATGGTACCTTTTTGATAATGTTGAGAATATCGTATATGACTATTTTCCATTAGAACATGTGTGAATTAGTGTTTTCTCAAGAGTGTGTATTTTTATCCTTTTCCTATGCCGGTTTTAAAGGGAGAGATATAAGTAAGTGGTTATGTTTTTGGATTTTGTTTTTCTTGTTGGTGTTTTTTTTGTTGTTGTTAGTATAGTGCAAATTTTTCAGATTAGCTATTCATTTTTAGGTGCTGTAGCTGTTAAAGAAATGTTTAATTATGTCATATTTTTACACATTCATCTAAGTAGAGACTCTTAAATACTACAGCATTAAAAAATGGTTGAAGACATTTAGTATTGAATCATATTTGCCACAATAGGAAATGGGTGATGGTCAAGTAAAATTGCCTCAAAAATTGTTTCTGAATCATAATAAATAGGATGAAGCTGGTTTTATCAAATTATAGAGAACATAGTTTGTTTTTTAATCATAGTAGAAATATTTTTTCTGGTATATTATTTATATTTAAAAATTTTTAAATGTACCCCCCCCATACTTATTTGAAAGCCATATTTCAGGTGTTAATTTCTGTTTGGTCTCAATGGTAGAATGAATCCTATCAGAAATAAATGTAACATTTAATGCTAAAAAGACAGTATTTTTTCTTTTATCTTTTTAATAAAATTGTATTTAGTTTGTTAATTTAGAAAAACAGCTTTTTCTTGATAACTGGAGGAAAAATGGTCTTTATAATTTTTTAGTTTTTCTCTTTTGGTGTTTAGTTCTTTTATTTAAACAAAGGAAATAAAGGTAAACTAGTTATTTTGACCAGGTTCTTTATGGACTAGTGTCCCCCTGATCCTTCTATATAACCAGAGTATTTTTGTGAAATACATGATATACTAACTATAGAAAAGCTATCATAAGTGTTTTGTTTTGTTTCTTTAGCTATCTTATGTGCCATATAGTTAGCAAGATAGTATGAGCTACATAAGCTTATAAATAAAATACTATTAAATAAAAATGTCTTAATTGATTTCTCTGGATTTTTTGAGTAAACTGTTTAAATTTAATTATTTTCTTTCTGTTAAGTATAGACACATGTTCTTATCCATATATTAGTCATGATACCTTGTTATATGTTATTTTATATTAAACATTTCTACTTATCTCTAGTAAAAATCTTAAAATTGTCATATTTTAAGATTTTTTGCTTTTATAACAGTGGCTTCTTTCATTTATTGCAAGGGGTTTATTTTTTCTTGGTTTTGAATTATAAATTAGTCTATTTTAATTCATGAAACAGTTTTATTTGACTTGAAATGAATTAACATTTGAAATACATGGTGATATGTAACATTTTTGTGAATCGCAGCTATTGGTTTATAACTGGCTGTATTTCATACTCTATTGCATTTTCTTAGGTGAAAATTGATATAGTTAATCTACCAAAGATCTCTTAATTTTGATATTAATCAAATTAATATCATCAGCCTTTTTAAAAGAGGAGAAACTTTCTTTACATGTGATATTTCCCTCTCCTTATTTAATGGTTTATAGTCCTACTACGTATGAAAATGTTAGGTAGCAGTCATCATTGCAGTCAGTAATTCATATGAATTCTGTCATTAGCATCTAGGCAGCAATTCTTTTGCAAACAATAAAGAAATGACCTTCTTTCTTCTTCTTTTTAGTCAATTCAGATTCGTTCTTTTTGTTGTTGTTACTTTTGTCCCAGTTCACTTGGTTCACTGCCCATTTTTCTATCTAGGAAAGAGCTACTAGCCAGATGATATTGATACTGCTTCTTAAAAAAAAACGCCAATCTTGGCTACAAATGCTTCTTTGAAAACTAACTTTAGATTTTTCTGGTCTTGATCGTGTGTGTAACCCTTTTTTATGACTTTCTATAATAGTAGTCTTATGTAATATTTATCCTTTTTGTGAGTGACTTGTTTCTCTCAGCATCCTGTCCTCCAAGTTCATCCATATTATGAGCTATTTCACAGATTCATTGTTATTCTTTAATGCTGCTTCATAGTAGTCAGTATGGACCAGTGTGTTTAGCCATTCTTCACTTGATGGGACATTTAGAATGGTTCTCTTTTTTTTGCTGTTATAAATAGTGCTGTGATGAACATGGGTGTGCATATAAGTCTTGAGTTTGTCTTTTAAATGAGTTGTGAAAAATTGTCCTTAGAGTTGTGGAATCTTTAAATTGGAAGGGCACTTGTAAGTTATATAGATCAGTAGGCTGTGTATAGCATTGCTTTACATAATATTCCAGAAAATTAACTTATCAATATTTATTTAATATATGCTCATGGATTAAAATTCAAACCAAAACTCACCTGCAGTACCACTACATGTAGATGTAATTGCTAATAGATTATGGCATACTATCTTCTAAATTACTTTTATAGTTATCTTCAAAATGTCAGTTTTGTCAAAAGAAAGTATGTGTTGTGTAAAAATATGTCTACCTTTTTCCTTACTAATATTTTACACAGACGGTTGTTGTTTTTTGGGGTTTTAAAAACTTTTATTGTGAATTGGGTAAAGATTTACAGAGCGAGTTAGTTTTCTGTTCAACATTTTGTACATATTTTGTTTCATGTTACTGATTGTAATCCCCACAGTGTAACATCCCTCATCTCACTTCTCAGTATGTTTCCCTTTTCCATTCCTCCTGCTTAACCCTTCCTGCCTTCCGAACTTTGTCCTTTTGCACATATTGTTGTTTTTATTTCAAGTGCTTGCTTGTTCTAAAGAAGGTATACTCCCCTGGTGTTACTCTTCACCTTAAAACCTACAGGGTCCCGGTGTGGTGCTTTAGGATAAGCACTGGACTGCTAACTGGGAAGTTGGTGGTTCCAAACCCACCAGCTGCTCTTTGGAACCCTATACAGGGTCGTTGTGAGTTGCACCATTTTGATGACATATAACAAAAACAAAAACACTATTATTTGCCTAAGGAGCTTTGGTGGTACAGTGGATTAACCATTGGGCCACTAACCACAAGATTGGAGGTTCAAACTCACCAGCCGCTCCCTGGAAGGAAAATGAAGCTGTCTGCCCCTGTAACGATTTAGCCTTGGAAACCCTACAGAGGGAGCAGGTATACTCTGGCCAGTAGGGTTGCAGGGAGTTAGAGTCAACTCATTGGCAGTGGGTTTGGTTTTTAGAATTGTTTGACTGAAAATTGAGCCACTAGAATGAGTTCAGTTCCAAGCCTGAAGGGGGGGTATAAGGGTCATAATTTTAGGGTCTCAGCAGTCTCCATAAACCAGTAAGCTTTTGTGATGTTGAGTTTGGTTCCCCACTTTTCTCCCACTTTCTAATGTGATCCTTTTCAGAGCAATCAGCACCATCTAGTTCTTCTGGTGTCAGGGTCTAGGAGTCTGAAGTTCACAAAGTCCATTAGACCTTTGGACTAAATGCTACCATGCAGTCTTTGATTTTCATCACTTTTCTTTGCTCTAGACAGGAAGAAGCCACCTTAGATGGCCACTCACTCACAAGCTTTTAAGACCCTAGGTGATTCTCAACCAAGTAGGATATAGAGCATTTTCTTTACAGTCTGTGTTGTGCCAGTTGATCTTGCTATTCCCCACAAGATTATGATCCTAGGTCCAGTGACTGAGCCCTTAGGTCCAAGGACTCATTTCTTCACGGTGTTTGGTTATGGCTAATACTGGAGGAATTTTAATTGTCATAGATTATTCATTGAAATCTATTCATGACTAAATAATACCTAGGTCACTTCTAGTTTATAGTTGCTCTTATAAATTCTGTCATTATTCTTGTATCTTTTAGTACATTTCCCTTGGAATAAAATTCTAAAATTTGTGGGATCAAAAGATTTGAGTAGTTTTAAGGGCCCTTTCAGTTTTGCAAAGTGTCCTCCAGAAAGTTTTAAGTCCATTCCAATTCCAGATATCTGAGTGGGGTCTCAAAATGTTTGTGGAAAAATGTAATTAAAAGATAATGGAATTCCTCCACGAACTTTTTGAAGCCTTTTTGTATTATTTATTTTCTATTGTCTGGTAGCACAGTGGTTACAGATCTGGCTGTGAACCGCAAGGTCATCAGTTCAAAACTACCAGCTATTCTGTGTGAGAAAGATGAGGCTTTCTGCTCCCATAAAGACTAACAGCCTCGGAAACCCTGTGCAGGGTCGCTATGAGTCGGAACCGACTCCACAGCACATAACAACAGCAACAACATTGTCATTAAGCGCTGTCGGATTGGTTGCGCCTCATAGGGACTCTGTATGGTACTTCTGAGGGTAGCTGGTGGGTTTGAACCACTGACCTTTTGATTAGCAATCCAGTGCTGATCCTAGAGAACCATACCAGGACTACTAAATTTAATAAGGCATGCATTTAGTTTTCATTATGTTGTATTTTGTATTTTGACCTTAGTGTGCTAGCCTAATATTGTTGTTAGGTGCCATCGAGTTGGTACTGACTCATAGCGACCCTGTGTACAACGGAATGAAACACTGTCCGATCCTGGGCCAGCCTCACAATTGTTGCCACGCTTGAGCCCATTGATGCTGCCACTTTGCCAGTCCATTTCACTGGCAAAGTGGTCCATTCACTGGGGGGGTCTTCCTCTTTTCTCTGACCCTCCACCTTACCAAACATGATATCCTTCTCCAGCGAGTGATCCCTCCTGACAATATGTCTGAAGTATGAGAGACGAAGTTTGGCCTTCCTGGCCTCCAAGGAGCACTCTGGCTGCACCTCCAGCACAGATCTGTTGGTTCTATTGGCAGCCCATGGCACTTTCAATATTGTTCTCCAACGCTATAACTCAAGAGCATCACTTCTTCTACAGTCTTCCTTATTCACTGTCCAGTTTTCCCAT